GAAGAGGAAAGAGAGAAAGAGAGAGAGAGAGAGAGAAAGAAAGAGAGAAAGAAAGAAAGAAAGAAGGAAAGAAAGAAGGAAAGGAAGGAAGGAGGGAGGGAGGGAGGGACGGAGGAAGGAAGGAAGAAAGAAAGAAAGAGAGAGGAAGGGAGAAAGAAAGAAGGAAAGAGAGAGAAAGCAAGAAGGAAGGAGGGAGGGAAGGAAGGAAGGGAGGGAAGGAAGGAAGGGAGGGATGGAGGGAGGAAGGGGGGGAGAAAGGAAAGAAGGGCAGGTTTCAGAAATACACTCACACACCTATGGTCAATTAATCTTTGACAAAGGAGGCAAGAATATACAATGAAGAAAAGACAGTCTCTTCAGCAAGTGGCATTGAGAAAGCTGGACAGCCACACGTAAATCAAAGAAGTTAGAACACACCCTCACACCATACACAAAAATAAACTCAAAATGGCTTAAAGATTTAAATATACGACATGACACCATAAAACTTCTAGAAGACAACATAGGCAAAACATTCTCTGACATAAATTGAAACAATGTTTTCTTAGGTCAGTCTCCCAAGGGAATGGAAATAAAAGCAAAAATAAACAAATGGGACCTAATCAAACTTACAAGCTTTTGTACAGCAAAGGAAACCATAAACAAAAGAAGAAGACAACCTATGGACTTGGATAAAATGTTTGCAAATGATGCGACTGACAAGGGCTTAATTTCCAAAATAAACAAACAGTTAATATAACTCAACAACAACAAAAAAACAAACAACCCAATCAAAAAATGGGCAGAAGACGTTAAATAGACATTTCTCCAAAGAAGACATACTCATGGCCAACAGGGACATGAAAAGATGCTCAGCATCACTAATTATTAGAGAAATGCAAATCAAAACTACAATGGGATACCATTTCACATCAGTCAGAATGGCCATCATTAAAATGTCTACAAATAACAAATGCTGGAAAGGGTGTGGAGAAAAGGGAACCCTCCTACACTGTTGGTGAGAATATAAATTGGTGCAGCCACTATGGAAAACAGTATGGAATTTCCTCAAAAAACTAAAAATAGGGCTTCCCTGGTGGCGCAGTGGTTGAGAGTCCACCTGCCGATGCAGGGGATGCGGGTTCGTGCCCCGGTCCAGGAGGATCCCACATGCTGCGGAGCGGCTGGGCCCATGAGCCATGGCTGCTGAGCCTGCACATCTGGAGCCTGTGCTCCACAACGGGAGAGGCCACAACAGTGAGAGGCACGCGTACCGCAAAAAAAAAAAAAATTAAAAAAAAAAAATCTAAACTAAAAGTAAGGTTGGCATATGATCCAGCAATCTCACACCTGGGCTTATATCTGGACAAAACTATAGTTCAAAGAGATACATGCCCCCCTATGTTCATAGCAGCACTATTCACAATAGCCAAAACATGGAAACAACCTAAATGTCCATCGACAGATAAATGGATAAACAAGATGTGGGGTATATATATATATATATATATATATATATATATATACTACTCAGCCATAAAAAGAATGAAATAATGCCACATGAATGGACCTAGAGATTATCATACTAAGTGAAGAAAGTCAGAAAGAGAAAGACAAATACCATATGAGATTCCACTTATATGTGGTATCTAAAATATGACAACAAATGAACTTATCTATGAAACAGACTCAGACAAAGAGAATAGACATGTGGTTGCCAAGCGGGAGGGGGGTGGGGAGGGATGGAGTGGGAGTTTGGGGTTAGCAGATGCAAACTATTATATATAGAATAGATAAACAACAAGGTCCTACTGTATAGCACAGGGAAGTATATTCAATATCCTGTGATAAACCATAATGGAAGAGAATATTAAAAAGAATATATATATATACACATATATATATCTGAATCACTTTGCTGTACAGCAGAAATCTGCACAACTTTGTAAATCAACTATACTTCAATTTAAAAAATAAATAAAAATAAAAATTGTTTAAAAAGAAAGAAGGGCAGGTTTGCTTCCCCATGAGTCATCTTCTCTTTCTGATTGCTCCACTACTGCTTAGAGTTAAGATATTTGGGAAGACACTTCCGAAGACGAAGGAAAATGGGGTCCAGGCCCCAGAAAATATGGAGGCATAGAACTTTTCTACATGGTCCTGAAGAAGGGGAAGGAATATATACAACAAGGACTGATCAACATTCCTGAACTCTGAAGGGCAGGGGAACTGCAAAGGTCAGCATGCAGGGCTATATCCTAAATACTGGACAGGGATGTGCTGTAAAACATCATGGTTGCAAGAGATCTAGGTCAACAGCAATAGCCAACACACAGCAACAACAGTCAAACATTTGCCTTTGCAGGCAAAATTCTGAGTGCTTTACATGCATTGTCTCATTTAATCCATGCAGTGACCCTATGATGCAAGTATCAAAATCAGCCCCATTTGACAGGTGAGGGAACTGAGGTTTAGAGAGGTTAAGTGGTTTGTTCAAAGTGGTGAAAGCATGATTCCTTCACAAGTCTATCTGCATCCAAATCTCATTCTCTAATCACAGTATGCACACCGCTCTGAAATATTTCAGAAACAGCCACCCCTGGGCAGATCTGGCTACGTTGCTTGTGCGACCCAGTGCAAAGTGGAAAATGTGAGGTCCTTGTTCAAAAACTCTAAGAATTTCAAGGTAGTGATAACAACATTTAACCAAGTACAGGACTCTTCTAAGCATTAGACCCTTTGAACTACACAGGTTGCACACTCCTGAGGCTGGTCCTGCTCCTGGTACCAGCACTGTCTCCAGACCTTTTACTCTTTGATCTAAGCGAGCTGGTCTCTTGGAGTTACCTCTTCTATGAAAAAAATAATTTTTTTTGTTTATTTATTGTTGCTGTTGTTCAACAACAATTGTTGTTCAGAGGATCACACAAGATACAAAAAGAAAAGCATGCTTCCTGGCACAGAGCAGGCCTTCAGTTCTGTCAGTTCCCTCTGACACCCATTGCCAAGTCCTTTAACAGAGCATCCCATGCTTTTTTGACCTGACACCAGGCTGCCTCCCAGTCTTCAGTCCTTCAGTGTGGCCCCAGCACAAATGCCAGAGGATGGAAGGGAAACAACATAAAGGTTCAAGGTCTGCCACATTGGTGATGTTCTTGGGAGTCTGGTGCTCTGGGGAACACTGGGAAAAGTTACTGCACCTCAACCCCCTAAGACTAAGACAGAGGCACAGCCCTTTGTAGGTTTCTTTGGGATTTGGAGGCAGCGTACATCACGCCAGGGAATGCTGCTTGGACACATTCACTGGGTCCTCTGAAGGCCGACTGCTTTTAATCAGGCCCAGAGCAAGTGAGGGCTCTGCAGCAGGTCCAGGCTCTGGTGCAAGTTCCCCTGCGTGGCCCATAGAACAGCAGACACCTTGGTGCTTGAGGTATCCAAGGGGGGTACATATGTCATGCGGAGCCTCTGGCGAGCCGCAGCTGGGCAGTCACAGTGCAGACCCCTAGGGTTCTGGAGCAAAACTATGGCTTCTGCATGAGAAAACTACTTACCATTTGGAAAGTACCTCCTGCCTTGCTACTGGGAGGAAGAGAGACTGCGTGCCCTTCTGTCCTCCTGCAGCTTCCCACACACCCTTCTTCCCACCTGCTGGGACCTAGCTCAAGACACCTTCTCCTCTTGAAATGCCCTCCTGCTCAAATGTTCCCCTTCGCTAAGGCCCAGATCAATGGCCTCCTCCTCCATGAGGCCATCTCCAATCCAGCCTGAGAAATTCCTTTTTCCAACATATTTTAAATATCTGAAACCTTCATCTCAACTCTCATCACCAGACAACCAAGACTCACCAAACATCCCCTCTAAGCCTTAGGACCTGATGGATCCCTTGCCTTCAGTCTGGGCCACTCTGCAGCCATAGGCCTATTTCTAAAGTGGAAGTCAAAGCATGCTTCTCTTTTTCTGTTCCCAGCCCCCAGAATAAACTTTCTATTCCTTTCATAGCATGAAACAGCTGCCAGCATCCTCCCCTGCTGCAGCCAGCCTCTTCCACTGATCTCCTTACACTTCTCTGCTCCTAACTGGTCCTCTCAGCTCCTCTGGCTCCCCTCAGTCCTGCTCCTCCATTAACCAGACAAACTTAATTCATCCTCCAAAGTCTTCCTCCCCGAGGAAGCCACCTGCTCCCTCCTGCGGGGACCACAGGGCCTTGAACACATCTCTGCTCTGGTGTGTACAGCACCGTACCAAAGTGCCCGGTCATGTCCATCCACTGCGACAGTCCCTAAGTCCCTCAAGTGCAGGGGGAGTGCCTGCTTATCACTGCACCCAGTGCCTCGGGAAGTTCTGGGGCATGTGGATGCATAAGAAACATTTGTTCAATAAAAAATGAATGAAATGAATCTGCCACAAAATACACACTGAATAAATGTTTATGGAAAGAAGAAAGGAAGGAAGGAAAGAAATCCATCTCTATATCCTAGTGTCTAGGATAAATATATCTCTATATCCCTAGTGCAGGGAGTGAGTGAGTAATGGTCCTCGATATTGCTAGAACCTAGTACAGTGCCTGGCTGGTATGTAGGTATGTAGTGAATATGGGTCCCTAGTCCCAGGTGTTTTTCAGAATTCAGAGCTTTTCTGTTCGTAGACAGATAATTCAGTACATATGCTGCATATTATATGATATGTTCAGGGGTGGGGGGATGGGGCAGCACCCCAGCCCCCACATTAATATGCCCACAGAGAAACATATGGTGGGATAAAGTGAATGAACGTATAGCAACAATAAAGACCAATGGCTATATATCGGTCTAGGTCAATTTTGGCTGCCATGTGAGTTACAAGAAACCTTTGGGTTGTCAGTGCGATTTGGATGTTGAGATTGTGGATAAGGGATTGCAGAACTCTGCTTAGTAAAGATCTACTAAATGAATGAATGAGGAAGATATGTACCCCCAGAGCTAGCCCTGTGTGTGACCCAAGGAGGTCTGTGAAATGGATGGATCTTGGAGAGTCAGGCTCACTTATCAGGATTGAGTGTATCAATTGCAGGGCGAGGGACTTGTTGGAGCCCCCAAGGATCTGAGGAAACTCCTTCTGTGGAAAGAAGCAGGTGCCCCCTCTGTGAGCACAGCAGGTCATCAGAAGGGAAACTGGTCTCCCTGAGGGGAGGGGAGGCTGGAACCCTTTCAGCCCCCAGCGGTCCATGTGTAAGGAGCAGCCTCAGTGGGTTGGTTGAGCAACGAAGTTTCTTCTCCTCACATTTGATAAGAGGCAGCCATTCCCTGTCACACCTGCAGTCTTGTAGGAGCTGAGTGGCTGCCCTGTGGAAGGCCATGTTATGGACTGAGTGCGTCCCCTACCAAATTCCTATGTTGAACATCCAGAATGTGACTGTATATGGAGAGAGGGTCTTTAAAGAGGTCTTTAAGCTAAAATGAGGACAGTAGGGTAGGCCCTAATCCAGTCCGATTGATGTCCTTATAAGAAGAGGAAATTTGGACGTGCAGAGACTCCAGGGGTGTGCACGCATAGGAAAGACCTTGTGAGGACACAGCAAGAAGGCAGTCGCCCGCAAGCCAAGGAGGGCGGCCTCAGAGGAAACCAAACCTGCTAGCACCTTGATCTTGGACTTCTGGCCTCTAGAACATTGAGAAAATAAATTTCTGTCGTTTAAGCCACTAGTCTGTGTTATTTTGTTATGGCAGCCCTAGGAAACTAATACAGGCCACCACTTGGCTTCAACAGCAAGTTAAAAGAGAGGTTGAGGGCTTCCCTGGTGGCGCAGTGGTTGAGAGTCCGCCTGCCGATGCAGGGGACACAGGTTCGTGCCCCGGTTCGGGAAGATCCCACATGCCGCAGAGCGGCTGGGCCCGTGAGCCATGGCCGCTGAGCCTGCGCGTCCGGAGCCTGTGCTCCGCAACGGGAGAGGCCACAACAGTGAGAGGCACGCATACCGCAAAAAAAAAAAGAGAGAGAGGTTGAAAATCTCAAAACTAGTGGTTTATTTATTGCTCTCTTTCTAAAGACCTTTGTCATTAGAGTCTCAGAAGCCAGCAGTTGGCAGGGGCAGGCAGCTTAGTGAGGCTGCAGAGAGGATGGTTAAAAACACAGGGGCTGCTTGGTACAGAGTAAGAGCTATGAGCAATTATTTTTAAAATGACCCTTCCCTAGCCAATATCACAGCTTAAAAACATGAGGGGGTAGAAGTAATATTCACTTGTCAAATGAATTTCTCTGGTATATTTTCTGCTGAAAATCTTGGGGTAACGAGTCATGACAGATATTTAAACATATCTGTCTTCTCCCAGAGTCATTGAAATAATCCACAAGTACATTTTAACTACAAGAACCCTCTCTGTACGTTCAAGAGCTAGGATTGGTTTTTGGAGATTTCCTATGGTCTCAAACAACCAGCAATGGTCACACAGAATAATGACAGCACCCATGCAGCCTCTTGTGCATGCAGACCTGGGCACCAAGTTCTGGTCTCCCACTTGAATAATTTCAATATCTAACATTTACTGAGCACTTAGACTATATGCTAGGCTACCTGATGTGTACCTGTGAGGTGGGTAATAACATTAGCCCTATTTCATAGATGAGGGAACAGAGGTTCAGAGAGGTTAGGGAGCTCCCTAAAGGTCACACAGCAGGTAAATAGAGAACTCAGCATTTACAGGCAGAGCCTAAATACACAAAATTTATACACTGCTGTCTCCTCTCTAGCTAAGAGTCACATTAGTCTCAGTTTCTTTAGCTGCAAAATGGGGATAATAATGCCTGTTTGCAAGTTGCACAGACAATATGCACTTGGCTTATGGAAGGCACACAGTAACAGTGGTTATTGGTGGCATGGCTATTATCAGTAGCAGTTGGCTTCCTTTTTCTAGCACAGATCCAGAAAGCATTAAAAGACCTAACTTAAGCTACAGCCTGTGACTCAGTTGCCTCATTTACAACGAGGGAAAAAATCCCCAACGCTACTTGCGCCGAAACATTGCTCTATGTGTCAAATTAATAATTACCAGAACATGCCTTTAACAGCTCAGTGAACTCAGGGTTCTGATTCTGATTCTAGAGTGTCACCAACTAGCCTTGTAACTCGACAAACTTCTGTATTTCATAACCGCACTTCCCCCAGCTTGCAAGGTAGACGTTGGTCTGCAGAAATGAGCTTTGATATATTAAGAATTGAGCATTCTGCTCTTCTGAGGACAGATGAAAAGCTTATTTTGAATGTGGAGGATCTTCTCAAACTACAGGGTCAAGAAATCATGGCTCCTACTCAGCATTCAGGCCTCAGCTCAAATGATCCCTCCTCAGAGTAAGCCTTTCCTGACCCCTGCTTCCCTCTCTAAAGAAGCCTTCTCTTCCCAGTCTATGTCCTTCAGAGCACTTAGACTCTCTGAAACCATCCTTTCAATCTTGCATGTCACCCGTCTCTCCCCTTGAGAATGTAAGCTGGAAAAATGCAGGAACCACGTGACTTGCTCACTGCTGAATGCTAGTTTTTTATGAGTGCGGGGCACATAGTAAATGCTTGGTTCATACTTGTTGAATGAATGAAACAATTCAACAATTTTGCAACTTGCACTGCCTTAGAGAGCGTTCTTGGAAATCAAATACCAGAACCAAGGCTGGACATGAGAGTGTAAAGGACTGAAGTTTTCTAAACCTGTATGAGTTTCACCTTTGAGGTAGTAGCAGTGCTTATTTGAAACAATCATTTGTAATGTTTTGAACAAAGTCAAATGGGTCCAATCCTCTCTTATATTTTGTAGAGTTGTTTCTTTAAACCTATACGAGGAGCAGGGTGGACACTTGCTACGGCTGCCCCCAATCCGCAGTTCTCTTCCTTCAGAGAGAGGAAAGATGAGTACACCCAAGCTGCGTACTTGGGTGATGGGCTCCAGCCCTCATAACGCTGGGTGAAATCTATGGGCGTACCCAGTGTGAAGCAAACAGCTGCCTCACTGCTGAGGGAGCAGAAGGAGACACGGCAGGAATTCTTCCCATGGGCAGCAGGAAGCCACACTCGTGGTTATTGACTCCGATGATAGAAGGAACTGGCTTAAATAATTTTTGAGCCAATAGGTCTAAAGGGTCATGAGGAAAGAAAAAGCCATCAACCACTCGAGTGAAAGACTTGGTTTTCTGAAATAAGGAAGAAGAGAAAAATCGTCAGCTGTTTCTCTTCACGAAATCTGCTGTCCCCGAACCCTAGCCTAGCTGAGCCAACCCACTATAGCAAAGGGCATTAAGAAGGGAAAAATAAGCCACTCTTGGCCCATCCCAACACATCAGTGCTGCCTGGCCAGCTCTGCCATTCATTTAGGCAAAGGGGCTCACCTTTTCTGGGCCTTAATTTCCTCACCTGCTAAATAGTGATAATAATAGTAATAACCTAAGAAATATAATACCCCTGCACGACGGTTCTCAGAGCATGGCTCCTGGATCAGCAGCGTCAGCATCGCCTGGGAACTTGTTAGAAATGCAAATTCTTATGCCCCATCCCAGACCTGCTGAATACAAAACTCTGGGGGGTGCAGCCCAGCAAATAGCCCTCCAGGTGAGTCTGATGCTTGCTCAAGTGTGGAACCACCAGCCAAATGCAGTGGGCAGAGTGGTGAGGGGAGGGGATGGCCAGGGTAGTGTGGGTTGGTGTGAGCATCTTCCTGTGGCATCTTCCTCGAACAGGTAAGGACCTCATTCTCTCAAGCACTACCAGAGGGTCTCAAGATTGGAAGATTAGACATAAAAGATCATCCAGTCCAATGAATCATCCAGTGATTGAAATTTGTCAGCAGTCATGTAGACCCTGCTTGCATACCTACAGAGGTGGGTATCTCACTGCCTTCTAAAGGAGCCGGTCCTTTTTCAGACAGCTGAGTTTTTAGAAAGTTCTTGGTCATCTCAAGCCAAAATGGCTTCCCAGCTTCCAGGTCTTGATCTGGACTTTAGTTTCTAGTGGCCTGTGGAGCAAATGTGGTCTCTCTTCCCAGTGAGATGTCTTCAATGATATAGAGACAACCTTTGTATTTTGTTGGGTCTTATCCAAGCTAAGTAGCACCCTGGCTTGTCAATGTCCTTAAATTACCTATAAGGGTTCTATATGCCACATTGCTTTTTTACAGCCGTTATTATGAATCCCCAAACCCCATCTGTCCAAGTCCCAAATCAAAACAAATAAGAGAGTGGTAGGATTTGTCTACCACTCCATTCAAAGGGTAACACTGTCCCCAAACTCTCCCCTCCCTCTTCACCTGGTTGATGCTCAGCAACCCCTTGGAGGATTTTGCCCGCAGGCACTGTAGCAGGGCCACGGAGTCTGACACGTTGCAAGCACAAATATCTGCAACCATCTGCAACTATTTCCAGAGAAGGAACAGGTCAGTGCACAGGACTGAAAGCCTCCAGGAAAATGAAAGTTGGAAAATGTCCTCAATGTGTGCATAATGGAATGCACACATTGAGGACAGGTTGGCACTGCATCATCCTTACGCTCTTGCCTGACCCTCCTTGTCACCTTTAGCAATCACCAGAGCTGGATCGATCTCAGCTTATAGCTCTGCTCCAGCCCCACCCCAGCCTGGAACATCTGAACATGCCCTGAGCATCCTTTTTCTATCTCTACACCAATTCCATTCATTCTTTGAGGCCCAAGTCCCATCTTTTCCAGGATATCCTTTTAGACCATTGCAGCCCGCATGAGCCCCTTCCTCTTCTAATCTCCTGTTACTCCAAGTGTCCTCACCTCCTCTACCTATAGCTCTTTGCTAAACTCCTTCTCGCCCTGTCATTGGACTTCCCACATGTGTAGAACTTGTCCCTTGAGAGTGCTGGTCCTTACTCTTCTGGGAGTCATGGATGCTCTGAGAAACCAATGGAAGCTACAGACCTTCTCTCTGGAAAATGCACAAACATAGAGTCTCCATACAACTGTAGGAGTTCTAGGACCACCTCTCAAACTCTCCATGGATTCCAGGTTAAAAATCCTTGCCATAAAAAGATTATAGTCTTCTCAAGTTAGTATATGCCTTCTCCACTTATAAAACCATGGGTCTTAAAATAGAGCAGGGAAAACAATGAGCACTCAATATGTGTGTGGTGAATGCACAAACTAAAAAAAGCTTGATATATCATGTTACCAAAATCAATATTCCCTGTGTATTGAGGGTACTTTTTTTTTTTACCATATTATAACTCTATGTTCCCACTCTTGGTGTAAGTTGTTATTTTCTACAAGGTGTTTAAGAAAATGCACCACTAAAGCGAATAATACCCAGGAGATGGCTCCACAGTCCAGGGCTTAATTAATATTCATTGAATGAATCAGCTCATTCGTGAACTGATTCATTCAGCAAACATTTATAATCACCTAATATACAGCAGACATTATGCTGGGACATGAAAGATATAGAGACCTTGGTCTCTAGGTCCTCTTATCTGGTACAGCACTAAGACAAGATGATAGATGACAAATATCTAGGGCATATGCCTCACTTCCCCCTCATGCCAGACAGCATTTATCAGTCACAGCATTATTTCACACTGAGCTGGAAACAACCTCAGAATCTTTCTTAACATAGTACTCTAGGTGGAGTAGGTTTAGTACAGGAGAAAAGCCGTACATAATACAGAGGACGGAATTATACATCACAAGCAAAGAGTAATGGATAAGATGTAAGAACTATTACACATATGCTTACACACACACGCACACACGCACACACACATACACACTCATGCACAACAGCAGTAGTGAATTGCGTACCTGGACCCATTTCCTATTGAACCAGCCCTTCCATGGAGCAACATGGGCCACCTTGGGCCAACATCAGATCCTTTGGTCATGGTCAGTAAGGATAGCCAAGCATGTGGTCTATGGACACCTGACCACATTTCTCTGCTGACCAAGGAGAGGAAGAAGAGTTAACCGTATACCTACATCATCATTCCTCTCGTAACCAGGGGCCTTCAGGTAAGGGATGATGGCCACCCCACTTTCCATGACGTCTCTGTGGAATAAGCCTTTGGCCATGGGGGACAGAATCTGGAGAGAGAACACAGGAGACCCCGGAAAAGTTATCCAGGGGGCTCCCCACCTATCACACACAAAACCCAGCCCTTCTTTAAAGAAAACTTCCCAGGAAGCCTTCTTTTTTTTTTTTTTTTTTTTGCGATATGTGGGCCTCTCACTGTCGTGGCCTTTCCCGTTGCCGGACGCGCAAGCTCAGCGGCCACGGCTCACAGGCCCAGCCGCTACGCGGCTCACGGGCCCAGCCGCTACGCGGCATGTGGGATCCTCCCAGACCGGGGCACGAACCCGTATCCCCTGCATCGGCAGGCGGACTCTCAACCACTGCGCCACCAGGGAGGCCCAGGAAGCCTTCTTAAGAGCTCTAAACTTAGAGGGAAAAAAGTCCTGGTTTGGGGGTTTCAAGGACTAGCTGCAAAGGTTTGGGCAAGTTTTCTAACCTCTCCGAGCCCCAGGTTCCTCATGAACTTGGAGGTCAAGCATTCTGCCATGGGAGTGCTAGCTCCTTCACCCCCTGTCCTTGAAATGAGATTGAGCCCCTAACTCACGATGTATTTGTGAGGCTCGAGGGAGGCAATGTGTTTATAAGTGTTTGTTCAACATGAAAGCAGCCATTAGACGTGAATGACTCATTGTCCTCATTTTTGTCACCTCAAAAATGAGGTGACACCGAGGTTCCTTCAAGTCCCAAAGAGAAGAACTCACAAGGCTGGAAAGACTTATAGCTCCTGCTGACTCGCTGAAGATGGTCACGCAGTGTGGGTCCCCACCAAAGAACTCGATGTTCTCCTGGACCCAGGTCAGGGCAGCCACCTGGTCCATGAAGGCCCAGTTCCCCAGTGCATGCTTGTCCCCTGTGCTGTGGACAAGAGGCAGGGTGAGAATGCTCAGCTGGCTGCTGTCTGCTTCTCACAGCCCAGGGAGTGGGTTGCAGAGGCCATGGGCTGGTGTCAGGGCATTGCCACCTCAGCTGGAAAGGAGCTGAGAATCAGAGGCCTGGGGCAGCTGGGAAAACCAGGCTTAATTCTCACCCTCTGCTGGGATTTGGGTTTCTTTGAGAATCTGATGATAGCTCCACACCCCAGAAAAATTAACAGACGATCTTATATGTGCAATTCAGGGTAGTCATAGGCTCCCCTGAATCCATGGGTTCCAGAAAAGTCCTGCTCCTGAGAGTTGGTCTGCACCAGGAAGCAAGACCTCCCTGGGCACAGGGGATCCAATGAATGACTAAATGAATAATGATAATAATAGCAGCTGCTGCAGCATCATGCACAATGCTGTCCCAAGGGCTTTACAGCTGATGCTCCTATAATCCTCCCACACTGTGAGGTAGGTGGTGCTGGTCTTTCTCCTTTATCCCTCTGGGTCCTCTCTTCACCCTTCTCCACACTGTTCTCAAAAGACTGACCTTTATGAACTGCGGCCTGTGGGAGACACCAGTGGGGGTTCAGGGTGGGATACTGAGGGACTGGGAAGTTTATTCTGGCACCCCATGCCCCACCACCCTCTGCTGGGAAGTGGTTTGGGCAGTGGCTGCATTTCTCTGCAGCCACAGCTCACGTCACCCCCACGCCCATCAATGATATCTGCAAGCATGTTCTAAGGATACTGATGGATTCATCGTTTCCTTCTCACAGACAGGAAATGAGGCACAGAGAGGTTAAAATCCTTGCCCAGGAGCTAGAAAGTTGCAGATTTGGTTCCATGCTCCTAACCATGTTCCATGCTGCTGTCCCTGCAGAATAGCCTGTTTCCCAGGATGAGTGGACAATTAATGGGGAAACAAGGGGAAAAACACAGAATCAAAGAAACGCCTAGACCAAAACATTCATGTGGTACCCACCATGTATGAGAGTAACCCCAGGATCATAGTCTACTCCTCCTCTGTCCTCCAGTCCCCCCACACCGCTCCTCCCCTTGGTTCCCTTCCTCTGTCCATGACCCCTGGGCTGGCCCTAACTCCGCCTTCTCTCTCCCACAGCCTCCGCATCTGGTCAGGAGCCACGTATGCCCTGCCAATTTTACCTCCATTCCATCATAGGCCCCACATTGTTCCCCATTCCTCCATTTCTGTTTATCCTGATTCATAATCTGGTCACTTATGATCTGGGTGACCTTGAGCAAGTCACTTAACTTGCTTTGCCTCAATGTTCTCATGTCTGAATGGGGCTAATAACGGTGCCTGCTTCACATGGTTGTTGTGAAGATTGACGGTGCAGGCACACAGCAAGTGCCATGTACATGTTAGCAATCCTCCAGCCTGCTTCACCCCATGACCTGCACCTATGCTGTACAGCAGCCTCCCTACTGGACTCCCCATCTGAAGGCCAGGCACCCCTAGCCCAGCCTGCGCTCTGCTCTGAAGTGATCTTCCTATTATACTGCTCTGCAGGGCACTCCTGGGTCCCTCCTTCTTTAAAAAAAATTTTTTTAATTAATTAATTTATTTTTGGCTGCATTGGGTCTTCATTGCTGTGCATGGGCTTTCTCTAGTTGCAGCAAGTGGAGGCTACTCTTCGCTGTGGTGCATGGGCTTCTCATTGCGGTGGCTTCTCTTGTTGCAGAGCATGGGCTCTAGGCATGTAGGCTTCAGTAGTTGTGGCATGTGGGCTCAGCAGTTGTGGCGCACGGGCTTAGTTGCTCCGCGGCATGTGGGATCTTCCCGGACCAGGGCTCGAACCCATCTCCTCTGCACTGGCAGGCGGATTCTTAACCACTGTGCCACCAGGGAAGTCGCTTGTCCCTCCTTCTTTATCCAATAAAAACCAGTCGCCGTGCACAGCCTAATATTCAAGGTCTTTCCCAATCAGGCCTGTCCCTACCTTTTCACATCCATCTCCGGTTATATCCTCACCTACCTGTCTACTAGAACCCAGACATTATAAGCAATTTTTGGAAAACTCTCTGTCAAAGGAATCTTAGGCAGAATCCCAATGTACAGACCTGCTAAAAGTGTAATCAGGGCACCCCTCTCAGGCATTCTTGCCTCCACCGCAGCCCCATAGCCACCTCCCCGTGCTATGTGCTCAAAGCCCAGTTTGCAAATATTGCTCCAGGCCCAGGTGCTGTTACATTTCTTTCCAACTTCCCAGCCTTTGCTCAGACAGCTCCTTTTGCCAAGTGTGCTTTCTCCCAACCCCTCCTCCCCAAACCCAACCTCATCTTTAAGGTGCAATTCAAATTCCACCTCTCTCAGGAAGCCTCGCTGGTTTCTGGCAGCTCCCTCTGTTTCTACAGCTCCGTCACCTCTCACCCTCAGAGCATTACTCATGTCCTGCCTGGTAGGGTATTTGTGTCCCTGTGTTATCTCCCCCATGACACAGAGCCTCTCGAGGGTAGGATTCACAGTGGACTCCTTGCCATCTTCCCCGTAGTTTCTGACCGTGGCCTCTCACTACTCCTTTGGCTCACACTGCATCCTGGCCAGGGCTTAGGTTCTGCCATGTTCTAAGTAGGATAATGAAAGTGGCCAAGAGCCCCAGATCTATTCTGTGACCTTTGGGAAGTTGCTTCACCTCTCTGTGCCTCTATTTTTCAACTGTAAAATGGGAATAACAACAGTATGTTTCTCATAGAATTATTCTGAGGGTGAGCTATAATGGATGCATAGCAAGTGCACAACACCATGTCTGGCTCATAGTGAGCACCTGAAACATGTTCGATGTTACTGGAGGAAGGGAAGACATGCAATGGAGTGCTTACTCTCAGGTGAGTGCCTGAGGAGCCTTGATGTGGGCCCTATGGCAGAGACTACGAACTGCTCACACACCCTGTTTCCTCACCTTCTAGGGCACACATCCCCCTTGCAGTTGGGTGTGGCTATTATGACTGAGTTCCACCAGTTGTATGTGAACACAGTGATAATCGCCACCTTCAGGCTAACCCAGAAAGACCATCCTCTTCATGCTCTTTCTCCATCTGCTGTCCAAGTACAGCAGATCCAAGAGCATCTGGGGCCCTTGAGGAGGGCAGAGCCACAAGATGGAAGGAGCCTGGGTCCCTGATTGACCACACAGAAGAACATCTGTCAGTCAGAAACATTTGATTGGATTTTAGTTGAGTAAGAAGGAGATTTTTATTGTTTTAAGCCACTAAGACTTGGGGGTTTACATGTTATAGCCGCTAAAATTACCTAACTAATTTGGGCTAAATTTGTTCAATGTCATTAAAGGCTCATTTCTCCTTAGGTTGCTGGGCACTGAACCCGCTGTGGCTGCTATCCAGCTGCCCCTTGGGGATCAGGGGTGTCAATCACTTGGGGAGACTCACTTGAAGAAGCCGAATATTCCTAGCCGGTACTGGATAGCCACAACAAACACGTCCTCATAGGAAGCCAGGGCAGACCCATCGAAGATGGATGCTGAGCCAGTCTCGAAGGCACCCCCAGGGAGCCACACCATGACCTAAGGAGGGGAGAGGAACTCTCCAGTCAGCCCACCAGGCACCCATATCCCCTCCCCATGCATGCTGGGACATTCTTTCTTTAGGGAAATATGAATGTCTCACTTTCCTTTCCAAACAGCATCAGAGGTTTTTGTCTTTTGAAGAAGGCCCAGGATTAAGCATGTGGCTTCTGACATATGAGTGCCTGGGTTTGATTCCCAGCTCTGCCACTGACTAGCTGTGTGACTTTGAGCAGCTTCCTTAACCTCTCTGAGGTTTGTTTTTCTCATCTGTAAGATGTGAAGAATGAAAGTATCTCGTTTATGAGATTATCATTAGGTTTAAATAAAATTCTTCATCCAAAGTCCGTAGAACAATGTTGTAAAATTTCAAGTGCTCAGAAAATGTTAACTAACTGTCTTTGAACTTGTTGACCCACAGGAGGATGGAAATCACTGTAAACCATATATGAGAGGAAAAGCTGCTTTTCTAAGACTTTTCCCTACTTACAGAGAAAAGAGAAGAGAGGAGGGAAAAGTGGGAAGAGAAGTATGGAAGCTTTACTATACTGATTAGAAAAACTGGGACCAGGAAACATCAAACATTCAAATGATATTATCACAATTGATATACTTAATGATAAATCCCTCCCCTTCTCTTTTTTAAGGTCATATTAGTGACTACAACTCTTGGGGCAGGAAAAGAGAAGAAAGCCATGGAGGAAAAAGGAGAGCTGGACAAAGCATTGGCTTTGACACCCAGATCTGCCACTTACTGTGTGTATAACATGGACCAAGTCACTTATGCCCTTCCTGTGCCTCAGCTTCTTCATCTGTAGAATAGGTCCAATAATCCTCACCCACTGGGTTATTGTGGGGGTTAGATGAGATAATGAACCGTGCCTGGCACATAGTCAGCCCTCAATAGGTGTTGCTGTTATGATACAATAGAGCGAGTCTTCATTGCAGTGGCAAGGGGAGAGAGGGTGATAGAGGTTGTGGTTCAAAATTAGACGGTAGAATTACCTACTCACTTGTACAGTGATCTTTCACATTCTTAAGTGAAACATTTCACATTATTACCTGACTTTCTTCATTGAAAACAGAAAATTTGAAAAAGCCGTTTCTCCTCTTTAAAACAGGATTTCCCAAGCTGAAAAATCAGAGTCCTCTGAAGCAGAGTCTTTTCTAAATGTCTACAGACCATTAAATACCCAACAGAGGGGAAAAACAAAACAAAATAAAAATCAAAGATCAAGTCACTGCCAATAGGGAAGCAATCAGAAAAGCAGATAAAGTAAATCTGTCATTAGAATGATTTTTTAAGAAAGTTATTGACATGTCAAGTAATTGCATTTCCCTTTTACCCAGTGGGGGCCTAGATCTGATTCCAGACATCCTGCCACTCTGCCTGGGTCCCAGGCCCAGAACCTGCCAACTGGAGCCCCCAGCAAGGCAGGCCTCCTTATGGGGAACTTGGAGCCAGTGTCCGCATGGGCCGGTGCATAGATGTTAAGGTACAGGCAGTCTTCCGACACACTGAGTTTGGGATAATGCACCTTGAAAATGTGTTGATCTGGGAACAGCCACTCTGAGTTCTGGAGGCACCTTGTAAAAGGGAAGGAGAAACCCCCAGAGTTGCTGTCAGCAAACTTCCCTGGGAGGGACCAGTTCTTGTGACACACATCAGATTTACCTTTTACCATCAATGACCAGCTTAGAGCCTGACAGAGCAAGTCTTTAATAAATGTTAACTTTAAAATTATGAATGTGCTTTTCTATCTAATTTGATAGTTAAAGGGGAGTTTTACTCAAATGTGGCCTGGAATAATCCAAACCCAGAAGAAATATTTGAAGTGATATTGGTTGAAAAACTGATGAAAAACATCAACCCACATATCTAAGAATCCCAACATATCCAAAACAGGATAAACACATGCACAAAAATTACACCTTAGCACATCACAATCAATTGCTAAAAACCAAAGCTTAAAAAAATCTTGCCAGCAGCCAAAGAATAAAATACATATTGGATTCCAGAGGAAAACAATAAGAATGATGGCTAGTTTCATTAGAAAGAATGGAAGGCAAAAGATAACAAAATGATGAAAAAAAAAAGCATTGTCACTGTAAAATTCTTTACATAGGGAAAATATCCTTCAAGAATGAAGAAGAAATAAGTACATATTCAGGAGAGAATACGCTACTGGCAGACCCACACTGCAAGAAGGACTAAAGGATGTTCTTCAGGAGATATGGAGTGACATCAGAGAAAATGGACTAGGGAATTCCAAGGGCCCATCCCTCAACAAAAACATATATAGCAAATTCTATGTAACACAGCAGAATGCACATTCTTCTCAAGTGCCCATGGCACATTCTCCAAGGTATACCATTTGTTAGGCCACAAAACAAGTCTCAATAAAATAAAAAGGTTTGAAGTCATACAAAGTATCTTCTCCTACCACAATGGAATGAATGTAGAAATCAGTAACAAAAGGAAATTCAGAAAATTCACAAATATGTGAAATCTAAACAAGACACTCTTAAACAACCAATAGGTCAAAGAAGAAATCACAAGGGAATTAAAAAATACTTTGAGATGAATGAAACCAAAGTACAACATACCACAACTTATGGGATGCAGTGAAAGCAGTTTTCAGAGGGAAATTTATAGCTATAAATGCCTACATCGAAAAAGAAGAAAGATCCAAAATAGATCATTTAATATTCCACTTTAAGGGACTAGAAAAAGAAGAGCAAACTAAATCTAAAGAAAGCAGAAGGAAGAAAGTAACAAATATTAGGGTGGAGATAAACAAAATAGAGAATAGAAAAGCAATAAAGAGAATCAATGAGGGCTTCCCTGGTGGTGCAGTGGTTGAGAGTCCGCCTGCCGATGCAGGGGACACAGGTTTGTGCCCCGGTCCGGGAAGATCGCACATTCCACAGAGCAGCTGGGCCTGTGAGCCATGGCCGCTGAGCCTGCGCATCCGGAGCCTGTGCTCCGCAACGGGAGAGGCCACAACAGTGAGAGGCCCGCGTACCGCAAAAAAAAAAAAAAAAAAAAAAAGAGAATCAATGAAACCAAAAGCTAGTTGTTTGAAAAGACCAAGAAAAACCTTTTCCTAGATTAATCAAGACAAAAAGAGAAAAGACTCAAAATACTAAAATTGGTAATGAAAGTGGAAACATTACTACCAACCTTACAGTATATTATTCAGGCTGAAAGAAAATGATAAATCAAATATAATGCAAATGTATTATGGAGTTCTAAGATGTACAAAAGTAAAATATGTGACAAAATAGCACAAATGGGGGAGGTAAAGATAATTATGTTATATTAAGTTTCTTATACAGTGTAGTTAAAAAACTCAATAGCAGAGACCAAATAAATAAATAAATAAATAAGAATCATAGAAAATACTCAATTAATCTAAAAGAAAATAGGAAAGCGGAAACCACAAAAACAGCAAAAGAACTGATGGGAAAAAAAAAAATACAAAACCAATAGTAAGATGATAGACTTTAGCCTACCCATATTAGTAAACATGTTTAATGAAAACAGACTAAGCACTGCAATTTAAGACAGATTTTCAGTACATTCAGTACAGTATATTTCAAGATGAGAAATATCACCAGAGATAAAGAATATCATTTTTTTTAGTGGATGAAAAAAAAATACAGTGATCAGAAAGATGTAAAAATCCTAATTGTGTATGTACCTAACAACAGAGGCTCAAGATACATAAAGAAAAAATTGAACTAAAGGAAGAAATGGAAAATGTTACAATCATAATTAGAAGTTTTAACACAGCTCTATCTATATAATTAATAAAATAATCAGAAAAAAAATCAGTAAAGATATAGATTTGAACAACAGTATTAAGCAATTTGACCTAATTGACATATGTTAGATGGACAGCCACAGATTATTATTTTCAGGTGCACATGGAACATTTACCAACATAGACCACATGCTGGGCCCTAAAGCAAGTCTTAATAAATTGCAAAGTATTAAAATAATACAGAATATATTCCCTGACCATAATGCAGAAATCAATAACAAAAATATAATTAGAAAATTCCCAAACACTTGGAAATCAAGGAATACACTTCCAAATTACCCATGGGTCAAAAGAAAAAATCACAAGGACCAATTAGACAATGAGTTCAGGGGTTGGTGGATTTTAGATAACATATGTGTATTGACATCATCTATAGGAGCATGCTTACTTGAGTGAGACTGTTGTTGATTGGTTAGCACTCAGAAGTGTGTTTATTAAGGTAAGTTTGCCCCTGATGGGCTGATTTTCAGAAGCTAGGAGCTAACAACAATTTGTTGATTTGCAAAAGCACATTCCCTGAAGCAAGTTGTCATTGATCAATTGGACAAGTTTAAAACCAGTTCTGGTGGTGACTTGTTACCATAGCTACACAAAAATCAGTCTGTTAGTAAGTCTGTTAGAACATGTTCATTTTCAATATGAAAAATCAATCTTTTTCTACTAATGAAAATCAGAGAATGAAAACTTAAAATGCTAATTATAATAGCATCAAAAAAATCAAATACTCAAGAATATATTTAATGGAAGATCTGAAAGACATCTGACTTAAAACTATAAAACATTGCTAAGAGGAATTAAAGATCTAAAGAAATGGGGAGGTAAATCATATTCATGAATTCAAGGATTCAATATTATTAAGATGTCATTTCTCCCCAAACTGATCTATACAGTGAATTCAATCTAAGTGAAAACTCCAGCAGTCTTTTTTTTTTTTTTTTTTGGTGTAAATTAAAAAGCTAATTCTAAAACTTATATGTAAAACCAAAGGACCTTTAAAAATGTTGGAGGACTTACACTACTAGAAATCAAGACTTACTATAAAGTTAACTTGGTCCCTACCTCATCACACACAAAAATTAATTTAGGACAGATCAAAACGTAAATGTGAAAACTAAACTATAAAGCTTCTAGAAGAAAATGTAGGAGAATAGTCTCATGGTCTTAGAAAAGGCAAAACGTTCCTGAGAGAGGATACAAAAAGGTAAAAATCAGAAAAGAAAAAAGTGGACAAATTGGACTTCATCAAAATTTAAAACTTCTGCTCATCAAGAGATACCATTAAGAAAGTGAGAAGACAACCCACAGACTGGGAGAAAACATTCACAATATATATATCTGACAAAGAAATAATATCTGGAATGTATAAAAATTCCCACACCTCAATGATAAAAAGAAAGATTACCTAATTAAAAATGGACAAAAGACTTGAACAGGCATTTCATGAAAGGATCTATCCAAATATTTAATAAGCACATGAAAGGGCACTCAATATCATTAGCCATCAGAGTAATGTGATTAAAACCACAGTATCATTACTTACCACCAAAAAGGTTAAAAATAAAAAATCTAACTATACCAAGTATCGGCAAGAATGCCG